AAGTCAGAATTTACTTCCTACTTGGAAGATGGTGTCTTGCTTGATAAACAAAAAAAGGAAAATTTTGACATCTTAGGATGGTGGAAACAAAATGTTTTGAAATTTCCAACTTTGCAAAAGATTGCAAGGGACTTTTTAGCAATTCATATCTCTACCGTTGCTTCAGAGTCCGCCTTTAGTACTAGTGGTCGTGTTTTAAGTCAACAACGTAGTAGGTTGAAGGAAGACACTTTAGAGGCTTTGATGTGCACTCAAGATTGGATCCGAAAAGATATAAAAGGTAATATACTTTTATCTTTTACAAGATTAATTGAAAAGGATTTTTAAATTTTAATTTAGCTATTTGTTTCTTAGGTTATTCAAAAACGTTGACTCAATTCGAATGTGTGGATGAAGATATGGATGATGATGATGATGATGATAATAAGGTAATTTACATATTAGTGTTGATTACCTTTTAGTTTTTAAAATATTTTTTTAAGTAAATATAATTATTGATTGTTTACTTTTCGTAGGAAAAAGAAAGTCATATCTAATTGTGGAATGAGGAAGAAGACCTTGCAAGGAGAAGTTGGAAAGAGAGACATGATTGATCATTACTTGTTTGGATATTTTGCTTAATATTTTAGTTTATTTATATGTAACTTTGTTTTAAGTATTTTGATATTTCTACTTTACGTGTTATCAATTGAGCAAATAGAGATATGTTGACTTTTGCTTTTAGTTGACTTATTATGAAGTATTTTTTAGCTTTTCAAGCATACTCATGATGCTAAATTTTATAATTATCCCTTATTAGTTTTGATGAAGTATAGTTTTTTAAGCATAATTATGTTGTTGGATTTTTTTAGTTGTTTAGGCATATTGTTACTTTAAAAAGTATTATAGTTCATTTTGTTGAATTTTATAGCATTTTATAGAAATTTATAAAAAAAATATTATTATTTTGTGTTCCATTAGTATTTTTAATAAAAAATAATAAATGTCAAATACTAGTATTTTTTAATAACATAATAAATATGTGAATTCTTTGTGCTTTTTATTTTTATAGAAAATATAAACATTTTAAAAAAATAAAATATTAATGAATAAATGTAGGATCTATGGGGATCCCCGCGGGGAACGGGGATCCGCGGGGAACGGGGATGGGGATAGAAATTCCCCCGTGACGGAGATCGGGGACGGGGAATGAATTTGATGGCGGGGAAAAAGATGGGGAAGTGTCCCCCCGGCCCCGCCCCGCCCCATTGACATCCCTAGTTATGCGCCAGGAAATAGTGTCTGAGTCTGCTTGTCGTATTAATGAGGACTAGGGCCACCTTTTCAATTTGCCGATATCTTACTTCGGGGTTCTGTAGGGCTTTACTCGTAAAATAGATAGGCCTCTACTCTTCTAGTTTCTTTGATTAGCACTGCGCTTATTGCCTCGGAGGTGACGGCCAGATAGAGATAGAGGATTACATCCTTCTCTGGTTGAGAAAGGACAGACAGATGCGATAGTGCTTGCTTCAAATGGGTGAGAGCTTGCTCGCATTCGACCGTCCATTCGAAGGTAGCTTCCTTGCGGAGGAGTTTGAAGAGGGGGAGCGCGTGCTGGGCGGATTTTAGCACGAATCAGGAGAGAGAAGTGAGCGTGACGTTCAGGATTTGAATAGACTTTTTTGAAGTGGGTGTTGGAAACTCAGAAAACGGTCGACATTTGTCGGGGTTTTCCTCAATACCTCGTTCTGAGGTAGAATCTGAGGAATTTACTTGCATGTACGTCGAAGGTGCATTTTTCTAAGTTAAATCGCATCTGGCACTTTCTGGCCTCCTCGAACACTTTCTTCAAGTGGAGAGTGTGGTCGATTTCTTCTGTCGATTTGACGATCATGTCGTCCGTGTAGACTTCGAGCATGTCGCCTATTTCGTTGCTGAAGACTTTATTTATCATGCGCTGATATGTAGCGCCCGTGTTTTTCAGGCCGAAGAGCATTACGTTGTAGTAATAGTTGTCTGACTCGATCATGAAAGCGGTATATTTTTTGTCCGTTTTCGTCATTGGAATCTGGTTATATCTAGAATATGCGTCCATAAAACATAATAATTTGAAATCGCTGAGTTATCGACCAGTTTGTTAATATTGAGGAGGGGATAAGCATCTTTCGAGCAAGCCCAGTTGAGGTCGATATAATTAATGCCCATGCACCATTTTTCATTAGATTTTTTTACAAGAACTACATTTGAGAGCCAGGTTGTGTACTGGACTTCAGAAATAAATGTACCTCTATGAGGTCTTTTACAGCTAGTTCGACAGCCTCCATTTTTTTCGGGGGACTGTTTTCTTCTGCGCTAGGCGACCGCCTTGAGGGCAGGGTCTATGGTCAGGTCATTGCATGCAATCTCTGGGTCCAATCTGAGCATCTCAATTGCGCTCCAGGAAAATAGATCAGTATTCTTCCTCAAGCAAGCTTTAAGTTGCCTCTTCGCAATGTCGGGGAGGCCAGCTATGATCTTTACTCCTCTGGTGGGATCGTTCCCGAAGGGGATGATCTCGAAGTCTCCGTCCGGGATGGGTCATGCGGGATCTGAGATTTCCTCACTATTTGCAGATAAGGATGAATCTTTGCTTTCGACCATGGGCTCTTACCCTTTCTTTCTCTACTCTCCGCGATCTTCCTTGGAAAAGCGACTGTCGAGGCCGATGGTGTCAACCCTTAGCAGTGGCTTGGCCTCCTCGAAGCTTGAGGGCAATGCGACAATGGTCGTTCGGAGTTGAGTGTTGATGGAACTCAGGTCCCTGGCCGAGGCTTCAAAATATCTTCTTGTCCCCTGGATGTCCTCGTAGAGGATGGCGACCAAATTCTCTGCAGTGTAGTATTTCATTTTGAGGTGTACGGCGGAGGACACCACGATCAATTCGACCAGAGTGGGTCTCCCGAAGATACATTGGTAGAGAGAGGGAAATCCACTACCAGAAACTGAGTGTTGATGGCTCTGACGGTTATCCCTCTTCCGAAGATGACGATCAGCTTGACATGTCCCCAGGGTTTGGTACTGGCCCCGTTGAAGCCATGGAGATCTGAGACCACGTATGGGGTCAGGTGGCTTTCGTTCAGTTGTAGGATAGCGAACAGTTGGGTGTACATGATGTCCACCGAGCTCTCTTGATCGACCAGTATGTGCTGAACATCAAAGTTTGCCATGAGTGGGATAGTCGAGTTGAGGGCTCTGCCCGACAGTTCCTCCCTATAGAAAGTGAGGGGATGAGAGCCTCCTCGGGACTTATCCAGTGTGGCATCCATATCAGAGTTGACTCTGATAAGTTGCGCGAACCTTCTTTTTACGGATTTCACTGTATGCTTGTTGAATCCCCCGCCTAAGATGATCATCACAGCGGGAAATACCTCCCAAAGACTGTGAAAGGAGAAGTACAATGGGACATTCTCCATGTCTGGGAAGCAAAGATCTTCTGGTCACGAGATACTCATGGCGCCTGGTATAATGCTAATGTCGGGGGACTCCTTCCCCTCTTCGACGCTCTTGGTTTTTAGAGCCTCCTCGTGGACACCCTCTTTCTTCTTGTACTGCTTGAGGTGTCCGTCTCAGATTAGTATCTCGATTGCATCCTTAAGATGGATGCAACTGTCGGTATTGTGACCATGACTTTTGTGGAACCTACAATATTTGCTCTTATCAATTCAAGGCTTGGTAGGTGTCTGTCGGGGAAAGCGCACCCGAGCTTGTTTGAATTCAGAGTTGGCGCATTCAGACATAATACGTTCCCTCGAAGTGGTCAGTGGAGTGTAGTCGTGAAACCGACCAATAGGGAGTCGAGCATTCTCAATGCCTTGACTCTCTGACATTGTTGACGGCTTCTTTCTCCTTGTATTGAGTGTACGCTTGAGCCTTGAGGAGGGAGTCGAGCATGGCTGGTGATTTTCGATGCCCACTGCCTTTGCAAAATTGCTATGGGGACAGAACCCGCGTTCAAGAAAGTATTTCTTCATGGTGTCGATCGTAGATACATGTATTACTTCTTTATTGAAGCGCTTGATATATGCTCGCAAAGACTCATCTCTGTTCTGGATAATCGCTTCAAGTGAAGCCTTTGATTTTGGATGTCGACGGGAGATTGTGAAGTGCCTCGAGAACATCCTCCTCAGCTGTTTCCAGTGGGTAATAGACTCGTCTGGGAGGATTTTATACCAAAACATGGCTCATTTTTCCAAGGTAGTCGAGAATAATCTGCACTTAATATTGCCTCTGACCCCTCAAAAGTCGAAGAAAATGTTAATATACTTTGTGTTCATCAGAATCAATCATATAGTCACATGTTCCCAGCCTTTCCACACAGGTGGTTTTAGTGACGATCAAGTAAATGTGGAAAAGCAAAAGAGATACAAAATGTTAGGATTTTGATGATATATAGTGGATATTTAATATCTGCCCCTCACATGTGTGGGGGATTATATAATATCTTCGACGCTTGACCATTGGTCCCTATTTTTGGGACTAGATATACAGGTCTGCAAGAACTCGATCAAAACGGGCAAGTGTGCCTATAACTAGCCGTTGAATCTGAAGAGGCAGATTACAGGCAGATGGTCATTCTGGACATTTTCTGATTGTCTGCTCGACTCGTGTCAGGTTAACGTGAGACAACTACTAACTGGGTCAAGCGTTCGTGTGGAACATAGCTGGTCGTGTGCCCAAGAGCGTGATTGACCAGCATACTGGTTCAACGTTGTTGGGCCGTGCCACAGATAGAAGCGGATTAGACCAATTCTATTCATTAGACCAGTCCAGGATATTTCTTATGATCATGCCAAAGGTCTTTAAATACAAAAAATAAATAAAATCCTATTGAGCCTTTAATCCAAAACATAATTAAATAAAATTAAAATAGAAATTGCTTAAATATTAAAACAAACAAAAATTGCTTAAATATTAAAATATTTCCCGACGCACGATTTCTTCTTTAATACACCAGCCTTATTACATCATGATATCATTCAACTTTATACTCCAGATAGAATCGGATTAGCTCCCCGGGGCAACACAGAAGGCTCCAACCTATGAAAGAGGGGGTTAGCTTAAGTCTGATGTAATGACAAAATAATAAGCAAAGAAAAGTGGTAAAAGCCTATTGGTGTATGATATGGTAAACAAATGGACCTACCATAAAAATGCAATTTTATAAATTACATATTCTAACCTTTGTTGGACCTCGATCATTCCGGTGCCTATATGAATTGGTTTACCCATGATTATACAATCACTCACTCCATCAATTGGATCACCCTTCCCACGCAAGGCTGCGTCGAAAAGATAATCAGTTGAACTCTCAAATGATGCGAGCATCAGTGAACTTCTGCCCATCTTCTGAATTCCATGTCTTGTCATTCCAAGGACTTGACCCTAGTTTGATAAATTACATAAATTAGTAGATACGTACATATTTATCCCAAACACATGGGACTTTTTGTTTAAACTTTTTTGCTTACTAATAATTTCCAAATAACTCACCCTGACAGTCATCATATCTGCTAGAAGCATAATATGGCGTACGTCTATACTCATTCCATGACTTTTCATTGTATACTGTATCTGTTCAATGATGCAATATCTGGCAGCTTCAATTCCCAGAATGTTCATCATTTCAATGATATGATTGCTAACGGTTCTATGTCCATTAACCCCTTCAATTCCCATTACCTCTTTAAGGCCCTTGCTGATAGGAAAAAATGAATACAGATTAGAAAATGATGTTGAATGGTTCCCAATTATCTCGCACCGCAAGACAAAGGAATACAGTGAAAGCAAAATAATAATTCAGAGCAACAACATTTTACTTTATGTTTTCATTGCCATTCATGGAAATCGTACACAGAAAACTACATAAAAAATTAGAAGTCCTCTCCTGGTTTTCTCTAACCCCAGTCCACCTTACTCAACAACACCAGACTGTTCCCTGTGATGCTTTTTTGGGTCTGGCAGGATGATTTTCATTTCATGTCAACCTGAATATATGGAGATTTTCTTCTGCTGGCCACCCATCACTTTATATTATGAATAAAAATGAAATCTTCATACATTTTTAATGAAAGCTTAAACAGAAACAGTGATGAAGCAACAATAATATTCCCAGTCAATATCACTCAGCATATCAAACACACTTCTGCATTCCTTATATACAACTATAATTCCCTCAATTAAGAGAAAGTAATGCAATAATACAGTCCAATAATAAGGTATATACAGGGTATTGGCGGAAACATATGACACCGTGAAAATTGAAAGTATAACAAAATACAGAGGATAAACTAACCCTTCAACCAGTAAATTGTAAGTCTCAGGTTTTTTTTCTTTTTTTATTTCTAGCACAGCTCTTTCGACAGTTTTAACTCCCTGCAAAGACAAAAAAAAAAAAAATTCCCATCTGAATATTAAATACAAAGCCACAGACAAAACTCACACTGTATCAACTACCAAGAAAGTAAAAGATATACATACATAGACATAAATATATACCTTCACTACTACTAATGGAAGCAAATTTTTGAGATTGTTAAGTTGAAAAAGGATTTCACTACGGCTAGCAACACGAGGATCCACTTGAAGCTTTTTCATATCCAAAACCTTAATATTCTGCATAACAAAAGCTTTGAATATTAGAGGCATAAATGGAAAAGAAAATCATTATTACAATATTTAATTTTCACCTCTGACTTCAACTTCAGCCCAGATTGCAAAATTGATTGTTTTACAGTATTAGCATCTATATTCAGATGAGCATCTTCGATAATTTTCATGTCCAGCGAGATTAAAATTGCCGCTGATCTTGAAGTGTAAACAACTTGAATGCTCTTTGCAACCTGTCAAAAAGCCTCATTAGACACCCCTGCTATGTTGGCATGATTAACGAAAGAATAGAAATAGTAGTTTAACAATAACATATTATGCTGATTGATAACTATAGAAATATGTTAATAAACAGAGAAATAATTTCCTATAATTGCTTCTACCTAAATAAGGAAATGACAATAATAGATAATAAATCTATTTACACCGCTGTTTTGTAACAACTTAACAAATCAGAATCAAATGATTATAATTTAATATGTGCTAATCTTCAACACTCTCCCTCAATCTGGGTGGTAGATGTCAATCATACCCAGATTGGATTTGATATTGTCATAAGTATTCCTTGGAAGAGTCTTGGTTAAGATATCTGGAGTTTGCTTGCACGATGGGATATGATCCATACTTAAGATCAATTTTTTCTTCAATGAAGTGTCGATCAATTTCCACATGTTTTGTTCTATCATGTTGGACTGAGTTTTTTCCAATGCTTATAGCAGCGTTGTTATCACATAGTAACCTCACACTATGGTTCACTTGAATTTTGATTTCATCTAGCATGCTCTTAAGCCACATTCCTTCACAAATACCTAGGGCCATAGCTCTAAATTCTGATTTTGCACTACTCCTCGCCACTACAGATTGTTTCTTGTTTCGCCAAGTTACTAGGCTCCCCCACACAAATGAATAATAACCTGTAGTCAATTTTCTGTCTGTGGAGCATCCTGCCCAATCTAAATTTGTATAAACTTCAATGTCCCTGTTTGAATTCCTCTTGAAGTGGAGGCCTCGGCCTGGTGTGCCTTTGAGGTATTGGAGGATTCTATTCGCCATTTTCATGTTAGACTCAGTTGGATTTGACATGTAGCGACTAGCCAAGCTTACAGCGAACCCAATGTCGGGCCTAGTGTGAGATAGGTAGATTAGTTTTCCAACTAGACTTTGATATCTATTTTTGTCGGCTGGTGGACTTTCATCTTCTCTTCCTTTTATTTGTTCTATTGGTGTATTAGCTGCCTTGCACCCAAGCATTCCAGTTTCTTGGTGTATTTCCTTTGTGATACATAGATACCATCCTTTGTTCGAGCAACTTTCATCCCTAAAAAATACTTAAGTTGTCCCAAGTCCTTAACTTCAAATTCCTTTGCCAAGAGTCCCTTTAAATGATCAATTTGATCATAATCATTTCTTGTAATAACGATATCATCCACATAAACAATAAACAAAGCTACCTTTCCTTCCATGGAGTGTTTAACAAACATAGTGTGATCTGACTGGCATTGGTTGAACCCGTCTTTCTTGACAACTCGAGTCAATCTATCAAACCACGCCCTTGGAGACTGCTTGAGGCCATAAAGGGATTTTCGGAGCCTGCACACCGTTTTTGCGGTGCTGGATGATTCGAGTCCAAGAGGAATCTGCATATAAACTTCCTCTTCTAGGTCACCATTTAAAAATGCATTCTTGATGTCTAATTGATGGAGTGGCCAATCTAAATTTGCGGCCAAAGAGAGAATAACTCTAACAAAGTTTAGTTTTGCCACCAGTGCAAAGGTCTCCTCATAATCTACTCCATATAATTGAGTAAATCCCTTTGCTACAAGTCGAGCTTTGTACCGATTTACACTCCCATCTACATTATACTTTATGGAGAATATCCATTTGCATCCTACCGGCTTCTTCCCTGCAGGTAGGCTTGTGATCTCCCAAGTGATATTCTTAATTAAGGCCTGAACCTCTTCCGTTACGGCTGCTACCCATTCAGAATTTTGGAGTGCCTCATGGATGTTACTTGGAATATGTGTATTGTCAAGAGCTGTTACAAAAGTCTTGTAACTTTGGGACAATTTTCATAAGATACAAATCTTTCAATGAGATGTTTGGTACAGGATCTTACATTTTTTCTCAACGCAATAGGAATATCAATATCGTCAACATTCAGAGTTAGGAGCAGTATTACCTGAGGGAACGCCATTTTCTGGAGTCTTGGAGGTTTCTTGGTTCTGCCTAGGAGCTGTGCAGGACTCTATTCCCTTCTTGCTCTTCCTGGAGTACACTTTCACGTTGTTTCCTGGTGCAATTTCTGTTGTAGGGGCTGCAGTTTCTACTGCAATTTCCTCTATATTTTCTGGCGTAGTTTCATCTGGTCCACATGTAGGTTCTGCCGTTTCTGTTGCATTTTCATTTGGTGCAGGTGTAGGTTTTGATGCCTCTACAGTGAGTTTGGGTTCAGTTAGTTCAAGTTTCAAAAGTTGGGATTCTACCACTTCAATTGGAAAGGTGTTCTCCCCCTGAATGCCAACTTTGAGGTAATATGACTGATTCTCAAAAAAGGTTACATCCATGGTGTGGTAGAATTTTTTGTTGAGGTGAATAACATTTGTATCCCTTTTGGTGAGGAGAATAGCCGAGGAATATGCATTTAATGGATTTCGGGTCAAGTTTACTGCGTTGGGGATCAAGATTATGGACAAAGGTTGTGCATCCAAATATTTTCAATGGAATAGATGTAAGAATACGATTGGTTGGGTATAAGGTTTGGAGAGTGGAGTAAGGCGTATGGAAGTTAAGGATTCGGGAAGGCATTATGTTTATTAGATAGGTTGCAGAGAGGACAGCTTCTCCCCAAAACGGGTTAGGTACATTTGTAGCTAGCATGAGAGATCGGGTTACTTCTAGGAGGTGTCTATTCTTTCTCTCGGCAACTCCGTTTTGCTGAGGTGTATCCACACATGAGGTTTGCTGTATTATTCCATGTTGCGTAAAGTATGAGCTTACTGTAGAATTATAGTACTCACGACCATTATCACTCCTAAGCACTCTAATTTTGCTTTGAAATTGTGTTTCCACCATGGTATGGACACATTCAAATATCCTACCAACTCCTGATTTATCTTTCATAAGATAGACCCAAGTGATCCGTGTGTGGTCATCAATAAAGATGACAAACCATCTTGCTCCAGTTACATTTCTGACCCGCGAAGGTCCCTATACATCACTATGAATAACATAAAAAGGTTTGGAAGGTTTATAGGGTTGAGGTGGGTGGGCGTTGCGTGTATGTTTGGACAATTGACAAATTTCACATTGAAACAACTTCTGATTTTTATTTGAATAGTTTAGTAAGCATTTTTTACAAGTACATAAAATTTGGGTGGCCTAGTCTATAGTGCCACAGCATTGCAGAATTTTCACTACATGCAGAAACTACAGTGCAAGAGGCTGCCTCGGATTCTGGTTTAGATGCTTCAGCCTGAAGGATATAGAGTTCAGCACATTCTTTAGCATTTCCAATCGTCCTCCCCGACTCCAAAATCTAAAATTCACACAGGTTAGGAAAGAATTTAGTGATACACTTCAAATCCTTTTTAAGTTTACTGATGGACAGCAAGTTACAATCAAGTTTAGACACATACAGAACTGAACTAAGAGTAATATTTTGCGAAATAATGACTGAACCTTTACCCATGACCTTAGAAAGGGTACCATCAGCAATTCGAACAGTCAAATTATTTTGACCTGGAGAATAGCTATCAAAAACAGTCAAATCTCCAGTCATGTGATCAGATGCTCCTGAGTCAATAATCCATGATTTTTGTTTTCCCCTGCTAGTGTTTAGAGCATGCAAAAAATTACCTTTTTGTGCCACAGTAGCTGTACCATTTGTTTGTTGAAGCATTTTTTGTAAGGCTTCCATTTGCTCCTTGTTGAATAGTGATGAGTGAGAATTTACCTCAGTTGTGTTCCCTCTGCAGTCCCAGTTTTTGGTCCATCTTAGACCAGATGGTTTTCCATGAATGATCCAACATGTGTCCTTGGAATGACCCGATTTCTTGCAGTGGTCACACCAAGGCCGAGTTTTCTGTTGGAAAGATCGCTGATCTCCCCTTGCTGCCATTGCAGATCCTTCTATAGATGGGGCTGCACTGGATTTTCCAAGCATCACTTTTCTCCTGATCTCCCAGTTTTTGGTCCATCTTAGCCCAGATGGTTTTCCATGAAATGATCCAGCATGTGTCCTTGGAATGACCCGGTTTCTTGCAGTGGTCACACCAAGGCCGAGTTTTCTGTTGGAAAGATCACTGATCTCCCCTTGCTGTCATTGCAGATCCTTCTATAGATGGGGCTGCACTGGATTTTCCAAGCATCACTTTTCTCCTGCTCTCCTCTCTTCGTATTTTCGAGAATGCTTCTCGAATGTTTGGAACAGGTTTGGTTCCAAGGATTCTCCCACGAACTTCATCAAGTTCTGTGTTCAAACCTAAGAGAAATTTGTAGACTCTATCTTTCTCCACCAATTCTTTGTACTTCTTTTTATCTTTTGTGCAGCTCCATTCAACTTCATCATATACATCCTGTTGCTGCCAGTGACGATTGAGAGTATTAAAATACTGTGACTGAGCGGTCATCTTGACGCAAGTCATGGAATATGCTCTTGATTTCAAAAATTGCAGATGTATTGTCGACATTAGAGTAGGTTTCCTTTACGGCATCCCACATCTCTTTGGCAGTGTCATAGTACGAGAAATTTTTTCCAATTTCATTTGTCATGGTGTTTAGCAGCCATGACATTACTAGACTGTTTTCTAGTTGCCATTTTTCAAGGTAGGAATCCCCCTTTTTTGGACACTTGGAGTCTCCTGTGATATAACCTTCCTTCCCTTTTCCTTGAAGGTAGATTTTGACTGAGCGCACCCATTGATTGTAATTCTGGCTATTCAATTTGTGACCAGTGATAGGAAGAGCATGTCCTTCAGCCAAACTGTTGACTGAATTTTCTGCTCTAGTATCTGCCATGGGTGGTGCTCAAGGTTTAGGGATGGTTCAGATCTTGTGCTCTAATACCATATAGAAATATGTTGTATATTTCATTGATATTGGAACTGTTACATTTTGAGATATATATAGAATATAGTGGACTAATTTGTTAATAAACAAAGAAATAATTTCCTATAATTACTTCTACCTAAATAAGGAAATGACAATAATAGATAATAAATCTATTTACACCACTGTTTTGTAACAGCTTGACAAATCAGAATCAAATGATTATGATTTGATATGTGCTAATCCTCTACAATAACTAATATTTTATTGGAAAAATAATGGTTGACAACTGAAAGATACAATTAAGTTAACAAACTAATTACAATGCTTAAGAAAATTTACCTGATAAAAGAATCCAAATTAAAAGAAACATAAACTTAATTATAAAGAATGAGGTTGGAAAAGTACACCAGGAACCAAACAGTTTTCTCAGCATTTGTTTTGGGAGAAACTATGGATTGGGAGAAGTCCATTTTTAGAGGCATAACTTCACTTGTTTCATCTCCCTACCAAGCATTTACACATCAGCCACTTTTATACAAGTCATGATCATGCGTAGAATTTAAAACAAATCTTTCATTTACTAGATATCAATGAAAGATAAAGTATTATGAGTTAGGCCCAACCTAAATTTTAAGATGATATCAAAACCTATCCTAGATATGTTGGGTTACCCATTATCGAGCCATCAAGGTCATGCTCCAGACAGGTGTGGGGAGGAGTGGTGTGTTGAAAGTACCACATCGGATAATAATATGCTTTGAGTAGTGGTTATACGCTGTGGACATCTCTTAACTTAAACTATTTTGAGAGGAAGAAGTTGGGCCTTTATCATTTTTGCTAATTTGTGGCGTGATCTTGGTAGTCCAATGGATCTAGGACAGACTTTGTTATCGTATTGGAATTTGGGTTTAGCTAACTCAATTCTACAATAATCACTACTAATAACAAAATATATGGATCATAACTACATATACAAAAATATTACATAACACTACCAAAATAAGAACAATAAATACGGTAACTTTTGGAAAAAAAGAAAAAAAAACTCGTGAAATCTAAACAAATGAATTGAATAGTAGAATTGATAAGCATAGAAATAAACATATAACTGACAAATAATGTGGGCACAGCTTAGTGATACTTTTTTGCTACAACTGCATACCTGGCCTAAATTTGTTTTTTCTATGCGGCCTTTCACCACCTTTGCAATATTTGCATTATCATCCCTCTCAAGTATAGCAGTGATGATCGGTGTCTTAATATTTGGTGCTCCATTTATAATTTCTATGATGCGAGGAACTCCAAGAGTAACATCTATTGACAGATTAAGGAACAACATTCAAAACCAATCAGCATACAACACAGGAGTTGTTGGCATCTGAGGGATTTGAACTTGAGATGTAAAGAAGAGCACACTCTTGGGGGACCAATCCCACTAGTAGCGGGGGACCCAATTATAGTTGACAGAACATTAATAAAAGTGGACAACAAAGTCAAATAAAGGATACTCATGCTTGCAACCCCAGCAAAGTGAAAAGTTTTCAAAGTCATCTGAGTCCCAGGTTCTCCAATACTATGAGCCCCAATTGCACCAATTGGAGTTCCCGCCTCAATTTTTTTGAAACGATAACGTGATAGACAAATATCTAGAAATACCTGAATATAAAAAGCATATGTGAGGGAATTATAATCAGACCAATAAAAACAAACTCATGAAACATTAGGAAAATATGGAGGCAAAACCTTAAATTCAATTGTATTTGTTGACCAAAAAACTACATCAGTGCACAAGAATTGTAAATGACACCAACAGCTTACAATACAAAACAATAAGTCCCACCCCTTTAGCTTCTCCAAACCTTTTGCGAATAAGAGAATGTTAACCCCATCAACAAGACCACAATTAACAAAAAAAAACGTGTTTTTCCACTGAGAAGCAAAAAAAAAAATTAAGTTCAACTGACTAATCTCTTAGCTTCCTAACTCCCCTTTGTTCATATGTTTTAATGAATTTTTCAATAAAAAATTGAAGTCAATTTTTTTAACTATTATTGGTTATACTAATCTTAGCTACATTATAAAATTAGTTTCAGTTGAAATATTTTACTCAAATCAGAATTGCCAAGTTCTTGCCAGCTGTCTACCGTTGAAATAAAAATAAATTAGAACTCTTTAAAATGTTTAGATATTCTTTTCACTTCTTTCTTAAAACACTTCCACAACATAGAAAACACAGTATCAAAAGGAAAATAACAAATATGTTTAGCATACGCAAATTAGATTGCTAAGAGTTGCTCATGAAACAGCAAGATTTAAATGACCAAATGAAAGCAAAAAAGAATAACCAAGGAGAAATATTATTCCAAGACCATATATACCTCTAGTTGTCTGCGACTGATCCCAGATATTTTTGGAATAAAGTTACTCAGGTTCTTTAGATTTGTAGAATCGCCCTCGGTGATAATTTCTGTTAATGTATTTTTTTCGACAAAGGATTGTAGAGATTGAATGAAATCTGCAGAGAAGCCCACCTCTGACATTATATCTGAAGCATCCTTCTCCACTGAATTAGACATACCAACTTCAGAAAGCTTCTCTTGAAGTACTCTACGCACATCTGAAGAAGATAAGATTACATGATCTCCGTCAGGGGGACATATGGCCTACAATAGACAAAGTAGAACTCAGAGAAATTGCAAAAGCCAAGAAAATCATAAAGAAACTCAATAAAACAACAAAGGAAGCTTTTAAACCTTGCTTCTGAGAAATAACCGATCAAAATTTAATGGTTTTCCATTTTCTCCTTCCATGCCTGCTGGATCCATACCATCATCTCCATAACAAAACTGAACAATACTACCATTGGTATCTCTTACAGTGTAATCATAATGTAAAAATAAGTCCTCTAGAGCTTTCATTAATCTACGAGACATATATCCAGTGTCTGCAGTTTTGACCTGCAAAACCACAAGCAGCAAAGAAACTATAAAATGGACTCCAATGTTTTTTCATCCAAGTAAATGATACAAAAATTTAACTAAAATGCCCAACAACCCAAAGTGAATGCCCCCTGTTTTACCACAATCAGTGGCTGTTGAATCTATGAATGCCCCCTGTTTTACCACAATCAGTGGCTGTTGAATCTATAACATTTTAACTTTTTTGTTCGAATCAAAGAATCAAATCCAAATAAATCTTATTAGGATTAGAATTAGCAACTAATATCAATTAGTATTATATTCAAAATATGAACCCTACCGCTGTATCAACGAGCCCTTCTCTCCCTGCCATTGTATGGAAGAAAAACTCAGTAGCTGACAATCCAGAGTAAAAGGAATTACGAACAAAACCTTTAGCCTGCATCAAAAAGAATATAACAGTTTAAAAAGTGTAGGAAACAGCAATAAACTGTAATGCATAATGAAGGAAACAGACAAAAAGAACTGCTGAATAAATACCAACTATGTTGGCACCTCTTCAAGCTGGTGAACAAATACCTATCATTCCCAGCTTGGAAACAAATTCTTTCAAAGTTATTGTTGTTCAGCCACTTAGTTAGAAATTCTGCAAGGTTGTCTTGGGACGAGACATATAGAGTACAGATAAGACCATCTTGATAATAGGTTTTCCTATCATTTGGCTTAGTCACAAATCAAAATCCTCTCACCCCTTCATCCTCTCTCTAGTGTGACTGCAAACTCTAGTACTCTCTATTGACACCCTAATCTCTATTAGTGCTAAGCCGAAGCTCTAACTCTTAGTATGCTGCCCTCTCCTTCTGTAGTTGTTTTGATGATAACGGAATTCCCAAACTCTGTTTTTCTATCTCGTTTATTATTTCGTGTATCCTTATTTTGTATTTATGTAAGATCTTATCATTCTTGTTATTTGGCAACATCCGTGACATTTGGTTGAACCATTTTTCACATGACTTATCACAACTGTCAACAAAAGAAATTGAAAAAATTGCAAGAGAACTAAGCAGTCTTTCTAGATAGATATGATGTCTAAGAAATATTTTCTTCCCATTAGCCACCAATCATTTGTCAAGTTACTGATGATATTATATACATAAATGCAGTATGGAAAAGGTGTAGACGTTGATGAGAAAAATAAGCAATAAAGAATGAGTGGGGATTGGGTTTTACATAAACACTAAATAATAGAGTTGCAAATCACGAGAACTAAACATACAGCAGGGGTTTGGGCTCTTTTAGGGAAATGCGGAAGACTCCGGTCTAGGAACCCATTAGCAGCACGACAACCTCCAACTGACTGTTGACCAACACAGGCAACCATTTGACAGATATTGCTAGGAGATCCTTTGGAGCCACACTGTGACATGATCAGTGGACTATTTCTCCAGTGTAATGTTTGCATGCAAACCTGGAAATATAAGAAATTGTAGACAAGGAGAATCAAAATAAACTTGTTTTTCTGCCCACAGGGCTCAGAGGGTCCTCAAACAAATAAAAGACATTGTACTTAATGAAAAATAATGGATACCTGTGCTGTTGCGTCACGTAAATTATTTAATGTACCAAATATACTAGACTCTAATGTTTGAGCAGCATCACAACCAGCTGCGAGTTTTAGCTTTCCTTTATGGAAATCTTCTATGAAACGATCACAGACATCATAACCCTTGTCAATCGTTTCATTCTTCCGGTGGATCAGTATCACTTTAGGTTGGACGTCTTCGATGCCTATGGAGAACCCATGGTTACCTATCCACCGAGCACTGCATCAGAGCAAAAAAATATCATATACTTTATGAAACTTGTAAATCAAACCATCTAATGGATTCCAACTGCAACTTCAAAAGGCGTAGACTGGCAGCTATTTATCAACAGATATCATACTTAAATAGAATTGTTTTTGGTCTCATAAGATTTCTAGACTCCCCCTCTCTTGGGAACTGATTCTACCTTTGCTCACAAGTACCTTCTAGCAAAATCAAACCCTCAACAGCTAAGTCAAGCTTGCTTCTTAGGTGAGCTTCCCCATCTAGGGTTTTAGTGTTAAGTTCTACCATATCTTTGTATTTAAACAATCACTTTCTAATTAGCTCAAACATAAATTACCTTAATTTAGCAAGACGATTCATGCAAGAAGCAGCAGCATCAGATTTATAGTCTCTTAGTAACACAGAAAAAAGCCCATCCTTGTTGCCATTTCCTGCACCCATGCAAAAGAAAGCAGGAAACCAATGTAAATGCAAAAGAATGAATCCATCAAGGGTAAAAAGAATTTGGACAATTAAAACTACAACAACTTATTATAACAAAGAAGCTTTATAAAGTATAAAAAATTAGCTAGATCACTGATTCAGACTCATTTTAAAAGAAAAATAATTAAAGTAAACTAATGGTTAGTTGACAAATCACAAAACTCAGGGAAATTTATTGTTAAGAGAAATAGATTGGATGAAATTTGGCTTGAACGTGTGTTTAAATGGATACGGTTGGCTCGACTTTATTAGGTGTAGAAGCTGCTTTAAGCTTAAAAGAATCCTTTAAAAGGTGTTCGACAATATATTCTAACCAAGTCACATATAAAAGCTTAGGCAAGTCGGACAAATTAGTAATTGTTTAAAAGCTTTAAGTTAATAGTATGTGGTGCATTAAATTGAAGGCATTTGAACAAAAAAAATGTTTGACCACTGAATCATCCAATCTTCAAAATCATTTTAAAAGGTGTTCGACAATATATTCTAACCAAGTCACATATAAAAGCTTAGGCAAGTCGGACAAATTAGTAATTGTTTAAAAGCTTTAAGTTAATAGTATGTGGTGCATTAAATTAAAGGCATTTGAACAAAAAAAATGTTTGACCACTGAATCGTCCAATCTTCAAAATCATTTTAAAACGGGAACATGTAAAGTGGGCAATACTACACAGAATAACAGAATTTTTAGAGCATGTGGAAATATTTGCAAAAACACTTGAAGCAGCTTCAGCTTTACTACACTGAAAACAAGGACAAAAACATGGATAGTAAGGTCCTATCTGGAAAAATATACAAGTATAATTAAACATATTCATATATGCATATAACATAAGATAGATAAGAAAACATGACCATAAATCATCCTCGGAAAATTTAACAACTCAACATATAGAGGCATAACCCTGATGTCTGATACTGTGAGAAGATTATAGGATCATTAATTTAATACCACTTGCATTAGCAACTTGAGACAATGTTAAATAAGTCCTCTAGAGACCAAGACAAGTAACCACATGGCCACTAAATGGTTAAATAACAATATAAAAAAATGCTCCAATTATTATTTTACCTAATTGTTGAAACTTTCACTAATCCACTCAACTGCTTATCCAAATTCACATAATTTAAGTAAAGCTTAAGCATGTTTAGTAGATTGTTTCTTGACAAATATATACTAGTAATATAAGTTAATCATGTATATTTGAGTTTATTGATATTCATTCAGTCTTCTTGAGAATACAAATACGAAATAAAATGAACAAAAGGTTAAAAGTAAATTTAGAATGACCAACCTAAAGTCACCTTTCCAATTTGCCCGGAGATTAACTCACTATTGCGAAAGTAAACAAATCCATCATTCAGGCACATTGTTTTCAATTCTCTATTCCTGTCATCACGCTTCTTTGCGTTGTATATTTTCTCCTTTACGGTGAGGTTCACATACACCCTCACATTTGCATGTGGGCGCAATAAAATGCTAAATAACTGCTTACCACTCCAGAGTTCAACGGGCTGCAAAAAAGTAATTTGAATGCGTAAAGATCCTGAGAAATATAAAATAGCAAAGTATAAAATCTTGACAAATATAAAAAAGGAATTTGCATGCGTAAAGATCCTGACAAATATACTCTGTATAAAATAGCAAAGTATAAAATCTTTATTATAAATTACTAATAAGATAACTACTAAAATATTCTTATTACTTAGACATCCTACGATTACTAAAACGTCTCACTAGTAACTTAGTCACTAGTAGTCTCTTTGAATCCGACTACTCATCTTGGGTCCTATTAGTATTTAACTATCCTCCACTTGTTCTACCCTCCTTACAAATACTTAGGGAGGTGATTGATAGGGACATGGATATTATGGGCTGCCCAATTCCCACATCGAGTAGTATGGAATGCTCGGTGGAGTATTTTAAGTGGCTTGGTTCTTCCTCCTTTGATAGCTAGCTTTTAAGGGAGAGTTCCCTAAATATTAGGGTACTTATTGGTAGACTCCACACATATTATTCAACAAATGTTATTGGTCTTTGCATGTGTACAGACAAAATTTAAAAATAATATCATATTTATAATATAAGATTCTCACCTTAATAATTGCAGGAGTTGGCAAATCAATAAGATCCATGCCGTCCCCCATGTATGAACAGATAAGTGAAAATGCTGAACGATCATAAAAAGTATCTTTCCTAGTTATCAGAAAGGAAGAGGTTAAGAAGTCTTGTGTAGAGGCAACTAGAATTTCCCCATTTTTTGGGGTACACAAATTGTTTTGCACCTGAAAATAAGCAAAATATCACATCTACTTGAAATTTACAAAGTTATGAAGTGAATAAGACTTCGTCAAATATCTACAATTACTGAGCATCAAAATCTTTGTTGAACAGATCACAGAATATACGAAGATGAAATAACGGTAGTTAAAATTCTTCTAACGAAAGTATTTCTTGGGATTTGCTTAGTTTGTTTAAAGAAACTTTCTATCAAAAATTGGAGAGGAAGCATTTAACTGAAAAGGGTATTTTGGATAAACAAAATCAAATGGAATTACAAATTATTGGAATTATAATTCTGTATTTATGAGTCTGTTCATGTATCTAGAAGCCTAAGAATCTATGCCTTGTAAACTACATACATGTACCTAGGAAATAGCTTCAATCTTATTCCTTAATTACTCTCTTGAGTGTATATAATCAAATCACTTGAGTGCTCCGTGACTCAAGCATTTCACCAAATATTCAATTTTCAACATGGTATCAAGAGCTCTCGATCTTGAGAGACTTGCTTCCGCATAAACCCCAACCGTCTTCATTACGGTAAACCCTAAGTCACCTTCATTGTGACAATTTTTGCTGCCTTATTTGCATCCTTTTTACCCATCATTGCAAATTTTTTTCTGTCCAAAAACCGTCCAGAAACACCTCTATTTCATCTTTTTTTGCTGCACTTTGGCGTGTCTTATTGCTGTTTTATTTTTAGCTTGCTACAAATGACTGAAAAAATCTATGTTGATTACTCTTTATCATTCACCGAGGATGAGGTGAATCGTTTAAAGGCCTTCTGGAAGTTGTTCTCAACTGACGATCGGCTTGAGTGTATGCTATCAATCCTTTAGTGTTTGCGGTGAAATCTCTTAAGAATGTTTGGATTTTGGACTCTGGTGCCACCGACCATATGACATTCAATTGTAGTTTGATTTCCTCTTACACCTCTGAGAAGAACCGTTTATGTTACGGTTGCTAATAGTTCTTATGCTCGTATTGATGGCTTTGGAAGTGTTAACTTGCAACCTTCACTTCAATTACAGTACGTGCTACATGTTCCCACACTCTCTCACAACCTAATATATGTTCGTAAACTCGCCCATGATCAGAATTGTAAAGCAATATTTTCCACTTCTTATTGTGTTTTTCAGGATCTTATCACGGGGAAGACAATTGGAGTTGCTAAGGAAAAGGGAGGGATGTACTACCTATCTGATGAACTAAATTGTTCGAAGGTGTTGGCTTCCTACTTGCAGACTAAGTCTTTCGTGCCTTCTTCTCATTCTGCCGCACAAATTTGGCTTCAGCATAAGCGTCTTGGTCATCCACCATTCTCTTTAGTTAAGTCTATGTTTCCTTCTTTGTTTCTACACCATTCAGTTGAATCTTTTAAATGTGACGTTTGTGAGTGAGCTAAACATCATCGTCTCTTTTACTCCTAGTTCCATTAGAAGTGTTGAACCTTTTGATCTCGTACAATCTGATGTTTGGGGTCCTGCACCTATTTCTAATATTTCGGGTGCTAAATGGTTTGTGTCATTTATTTATGACTGCTGCCTACTTGATTAATCGGGTTCCATCTCGCATGTTAGGTAAATGTCAGTCATGTTTAGTCTATGACTTCACGGTTTCCTTCTGTTCCTATTTTGCAAGTCTCGAGTCTCGAGTATTTGGTTGTGTTGCCTTTGTCTATATCCATAAACAACACCGAAGTAAGTTGGACCTACGTGCAGTCAGATGCATCTTTGTTGGCTATCCCCCAAACAAGAGAGTATATAAATGCTATCATCCTCTTAGTTGTAAGTACTTTGTCTCTAAAGATGTCATGTTTCATGAGAATTTGACCTACTTCACTCGTCCTCGGCTTCAAGGGGAGAGCATTCATAATGTATAATCTAATTCCGAGTTTTTGGTCCTACCTGAGTCGCCTGTGACTCCTCTCTTAAGTCCTCTTACCGATCTTACAATTGAGTCTCCCGAGTCGACTGTGAATCTTGTGTCAAGACCTATTGCCGATCCTCCTATTATTGATCTTACTTCTATTTTGGTCCCTCCATTGTCGTCTGTTTTGCAGGAACCATCATCTTCCATACCAACAAAAACTAAGGCTGGTGAGCCAACCTTGGTGTATCACCGAAGTAAGCCCGATCTACTCCAAACACAACTCCAATTGCCAGAACCGGAGGTAAGTGTTGAAACTCACAGTCCTATTAGTGATTCTTCTCATAGCTCTGACACTTGTGACACTAATATAGATTTGCCTATTGCTTTGAGGAAAGGGAATAGGTCATGTGCCAAATACCCTATATCTCAATTTCTCTCCACTAAAAATCTCTCCTTGCAGCATCAAAGTTTTATTTCTGCAGTTGACTTTGCGGTCATCCCATCATCCGTTCAAAAGGCATTGAAAGATAGAAATTAGGTCCAAGCCATGAACGAGGAAATGAAAGCTCTTGAAAAGAATGGAACTTGGGAGATTGTTGATGGACGGGAAGGCAAGAAACCTGTTGGTTCCAGGTGGATCTATACAGTCAGACACAAATCAGATGACACTCTTGATCGTTACAAAGCTAGACTAGTGGCAAAAGGATACACACAAACATATGGCATAGATTATGAGGAAACCTTTGCTCTTGTTTCAAAAATGAACACTATTCGGATCTTATTATCTCTTGTTTCTCACTCCGAATGGGAATTACAACAATTTGATGTCAAAAACGCATTCTTGCATGGAAACTTAATAGAGGTGTACATGGAGATCATGCTGGGATTTGGCCCTACATGTGGATCCAACAAGGTGTGTCGATTGAGGAAAGCCCTATATATACAATCTCCTAGAACATGGTTTGGAAGATTCACAAAAGCAATGGTGTACTTAGGCTACAAGCAGAGCCAAGGAGATCACGCATTTTTCTTTAAACACTCGCATGAAGGAAAACTTATTATCCTTCTTGTTTATGTTGATGATATTATTATTATAGGAGATAACCTGGCAGAGAAACAATTGCTAAATTCGAGATGGGGGTCCTTGGGCAACTTAAGTATTTTTTGAGAATTGAGGTTGCTTACTCAAACCAAAGCATTTTCATATCTCAAAGGAAATATATACTCGATCTCTTGCAAGAAACTGGGAAACTGGAATGCAAACCTTCAAGAGTTCCTATGGAACAAAACCACGGGTTGAGCCTCGAAGAAGAAAGTGCCAAAGTTGACAGAGTCCAATATCAGAGGTTGGTAGGAAAGTTGATTTACCTGGTACACACAAGGCCTGACTTAGCTTATACAGTAAACGTAGTGAGCCAATTTATGCATGACCCGAGAATGCGATACTACAACTTGTTGATCGGATTTTGCAATACCTCAAGGAAACTCCGGGAAGAGGACTACTGTTCAAAAGAGGTGGAAGCTTAACTATAGAAGCCTACACCAATGCTGACTATGCAAGATCAATAAGTGATAGAAGATCCACTATGGGATTTTGCATCCTATTGTGTGGGAACCTCAATATTGTCAAAATCGAGATCTTACATAAGATCGAGAGGGAACATTAAAATCGTAAAATATAAAATCGTAATTAAGATCGAAAGATCTTACGCAATTAATTTTATAAGATCGAGAGAGGATAACAAGATCGTAAAATATAAAATCATAATCAAAATCGTAAGATTTTACTAAAAATATAATATTTAAAATATTTTATATTATATATATTAAATAGTGCATAAGTTTAAAGATTAAATATAAAACATAAAATAAAATCTTAATCATATAAGTTTGAATATTAAATATAAAACTATCAAATCTAATATAATTTAACAAATAGTATGTGTTTGTAAAGTAATGTTACTATGATGAGTAAGTATATTTGAGAAATAAAAACAATTAAAAAATTAAAGCATACTTGTATTGTCACTTCAATTTCACAAGTTGCAATGACACGACACATACCTTGAACTTGTACTAGTTAGCATGTTAACCTTACCAATTTCCAAGACAAAACAATAAACAACATTAAAATAAAATATGGAGTAACTCAGTGTGGAAGATGAAAACGCAAGGAAATAAGAAACAGAGCACAAAAACGAAAAACAGAGCACACTTACATCTTCTCCGGCAGCAAAATTTGAGAACATTGAAGTCCAAGTCGCCGAATTTTCAGAAGCCTTACAATTAGTATTCAGAGCTATTGAAAAAATTAAGTATTTACGTATTTATATCATGCGGGTTCTAAACCGGGTCGCACTTGACCCGGGTAACTAGGCCCTATATTTTCCAGATTTGCGGGATTAACTATCAGATTTCGAAATACATTTGACTTTGCCGAGATTTCCACATAAAAACAATCATGTTTGCGATCCAGATCGGTGGAGGTGATTGAGATTGCAAAATCGTGCGATTCCACGATCTGGATCGCGATCTTGACAACATTGGGGAACCTTGTCACATGGAAAAGTAAGAAACTACAATCTTGACGACATTGGGGAACCTTGTCACATGGAAAAGTAAGAAACAAAATGTAGTGGCTCGATCAAGCGCTGAGGCAGAATTTCGAGCTTTGGCTCAAGGAATCTGTGAGTTACTTTGGATGAGGATCATTCTATATGATCTGAAAATAGAATGTGAAGGGCCTATGAGGTTATTTTGTGACAACAAGTCGGCAATCAATATTGTTCATAATCCTGTTCAGCATGACAGGACCAACCATATAGAGATTGACCGCCATTTCATCAAGGAAAAACTAGATAGTGATTTAATAGCTACATCCTATATTCCTTCTGGACATCAATTAGCAGATGTGTTGACAAAGAGCTTACCACCTGATTGTTTCAATCAATTGACTTGTAAAGCTGGAAATGATTGATATCAATTCTCCAGCTTGAGGGGGAGTGTTGGAATTATTGGAATTATTCCAATTATTGGAATTACAAATTATTGGAATTATAATTTTGTATTTATAATTTTGTATTTATGAGTTTAAAAATCTATGTCTTGTAAATTACATACATGTACCGAAGAAATAGCTTCAATCTTATTTTTTAATTACTCTCTTAATCAAATCACTTGAGTGCTTTGTGACTCAAGCATTTCATCAAATATATATATATATATATATATATATATATATATATATATATATATGCAGTAAAAATAGGACCTATACGCATTAAAAGTAGCAAAATTTGCAATCCAAATAATACGGGATCCATAGATTTTACCGTCATCAATAAAAGAGCCTCTGTTCGAGCCTCCTCAGTCTGTGGAACGTGTAGGTTCATCTCATCACCATCAAAATCGGCATTATATGGATTACATACTGATTCATTAAATCTCAAAGTTCGCCATGGCATAATCCTTGCCTGCATGTGCAAAAAGAGCTTAATGTAATGCGATCCTAATTATCAGGTATTCTAGATTTATTTTTTGATAAATTACCCTATGAGACATCATAGACATCCGATGCAAGCTTGGCTGCCTGTTGAAAAGAACAATGTCTCCATCTTCTAAATGGCGATCAACAATATCACCAAATTTCAGCTCATCGGCAAGGCGCTTCCTAGAAGAAAGTTTTAAATTCCTGCGAAAAAAAACAATTGGCTCTAAATAAAAGATAATTGGCAAAAAGGATAATTTCGCTTGCCATAAGTTTGTATTAGGGGAAAATGGAACAACACAAACCATGAGGTACCACCGGATTTTTTAAGAAGCCTTGCACCTGGATACTTATCAGGACCATTTCTCATACATTGTCTCAACTTCTCTATGTTGTGATGTGTAACACGTTCGGGATAAGTCAAAATGCGAGCCATATGGATTGGTATTGCAACCTAAAGAGAATAAGTTAGGAGGCATAAACTTCCTTGATAAATATTAATATTTTGTTACTTATAGGGTAGTGTTTCACACAAGGAAAGAAATTACATTTGGCAACATTAAAATGTCTAACCTCGGTAATCTTTAGATTAGGATCGGGTGAAATAACTGTCCTGCCAGTATATTCAGCCCGTTTTCCAGACAAATTGCTACGGAAACGTCCCTGCTTCCCTTTAATGCGTTGAATAAAACCGGTTAAAGGCTTGCTCGGTTGATTATAGATTGACCCACCTTTAACATCACTATTTATGTATTGAGCAACATGGAACTGAAGCATAAGCCAATTTTCCTAAACCAATACCACCAACAGAAAAGAAACATAATAAATTACAACTTAGAAAAACTGAAAAGAGAGAAGATAAATATACACAACTCCAAGAAAACTGCAAAACCAGTGTTTAAACAGTATGTAATAGGAATAAATTCTATAGTTCAGTAATGTGTTTTAGCAACAGTAACAATCAAAGCCTTTTCCTACTAATAGGAACATGAATCAAACATCAGCAATATGTCCGGTCAAAGTTATCAATAGCAGCCCGAATTGTGGTGTTGAATATTAGAGGGTTTGCATTATGGATATGGTCATTGGCATTGCTGTCAATTCAGCTTTACAAACAATACAAATTTTTCACAAAAATTGATTTGACCACATACTATTCCACTTGTGTGAATAACATGTTCCTCCAACTTCCTAAAGCAAGTGTTAGCTATAAGCTATAAATTAATTGAAAGGCTAGAGCAAAATTCAAACTAATTTTATTACTTTTCATACACTGTACCCTTAAAACACTCCATATCCCCTGTAAAAGCAAATCTCAGGTGACCTTTGAGATTCCCTTCTAAGAAAACATTTTCACTTAGGGTATTTATTGAACTAGACCTTCAAAATCGTCCCATAACATTACCACGTGGTATTCTTCCGCCCTTGCTTGTAGTGCATATATATACCAACAATATTAAATGTTCCAAATAGAAATGTGATTAGTGAAGTGGGGCCAAGGTCAAGAGTGTGGAGAGTTTACACTAGGAAGAAGACAAAAGGAATGAAAGATGATGACGTGGCTGTGAATGCATGAGGAACGCATGAAGTGCATGAGAGTGACTATATATATCTATAGCTGAAAGGGAATAATCAAGAAGGAATTCAGTTAGGATTTGGTGGGGTCACCTCTTGGTGATTTGGGAGCACCGAGTGCTTGGGAATTGGGTAGCTATTACCAATTTGTCGTTTTCCTATTTCTCTATTACTATATTCCTGTAATTGTGGATCTCATAGCAATACAATTGCAGTTTCATTACTCATATATTCTACTGTTATATCCTTTTTACCATTACTTTGTGCATTAAGACCCGTCAATTGGTCCGACCTACCGGATCAAAACTCACACAATGAAGAAGATTGTAGATGCCAAGGAAGCCTAAGATGAGTGACCGAGTTGACGCTTTGGAGACACAGATGGGGAAGGTGACAACAACGCTGCAAGAGCTCGCTTTACAGTTGCAGCAACACGCCCAGCTAATGCATCAACAAAGCTTGGTTCTAGCAGAATTAAGCAAACAGATCGGAAAGAAAGGAGAGACTCTAGAAGGGGAAACCTCTGTTGGTGATTCTGCACAGAGTGAATCTCGCCTCACCGGGAAGAAGGTGAAGTTACCTCTGTTTGATGGTGATGATCTTGTGGCTTGGATCACACGGGCCGAAATTTATTTCGATGTTCAGAATACATCAGATGTTATGCGTGTGAAGTTGGCTCGCCTGAGCATGGAAGGTTCAACCATTCATTGGTTCAACCTGTTGATGGAGACAGAAGATGAGTTGTCATGGGAGAAGCTGAAGCGATCGTTAATTGCTCGTTATGGAGGACGTCGTCTAGAGAATCCGTTCGAGGAGCTTTCGACGTTGAGGCAGAAGGGAAGTGTGGAGGAATTCGTCGAAGCTTTTGAGCTGTTGTCATCACAAGTTGGAAGGTTTCCTGAAGAACAATACCTGGGATATTTTATGAGTGGTTTGAAACCCCAAATTCGGAGGAGGGTGCGCACTCTGAATCCTCAAAATAGGATGGAGATGATGTTGAAGAGGAATTGAAGGAGGAAGATGACGATGGTGAGCGTCGTGATGTAAGAAAAAAGGGGTACGAGCGTGTGGGCCAAAAGGATTGGGCCGGGTTACTAAGGAGTAAAGGAGAGTCCCAACCCAGGGATGCAACTCGTTCGTTTCAGTCGGGTGGGTCAAACCCGAGTCAAAAAATGGGTTTGATTGGATCCAACACAAATTCAACTTCGTCTTTGATTACCTCAGCTCGAAAAAACGACGGGGGTCCGCGTTCCGGCACGACGGAGAGGTGGAAGGGAATACGAAGTATCCACAATGATGAATTCGAAGAGAGGAGAGCGAAGGGCCTATGTTTCAAATGTGGGGGAAAATACCACCCTACGTTGCACAAATGTCCAGAACGAGCTCTTAGGGTTCTAATCTTAGGAGAAGGAGAAACCATGACAGAGGAAGGGGAAATTGTGAGTATGGAGGACGTGACGGTGGGAAGTGAAGAAGAAGTGGAGGTGGAATGTAAACTAATGGGGGTATTGGGAAGCATGGGTGATTCTCACACCATGAAGGTCGAAGGGAAGATACAGAATGTAGATTTATTGGTGTTGATTGATAGTGGTGCGAGCCACAATTTCATTTCTCCAAAGGTGACTACTGCTTTGGGTCTTGTCATGACACCTACAGCAGCTAAGAGTATCAAGCTTGGTGACGGTCATAAGGTGATAACAAATAGAGTGTGTAAAGGGGTCAATATGAAGATGGGAGGGATTGAAGTGATTGTGGATGTGCTGGTGTTGGAGCTAGGGGGAATGGATATGGTGTTAGGAGTTTCCTGGTTAAGCACTCTGGGGAAGGTGATTATGGATCGGAAGGCCATGACTATGCAATTTTCTTATGAAAATGCGTTGGTGAAATTGCAAGGTCAAGGCAGCAAGGTGGTAAGACAATGTTATTTGAACTCTTATCTTGAGGACACTCATAGCAGAACTGAGTTGGGATGGTGGTGGGCTCATTTACAGTCAATGGAAGCAACCAGACCCTACAGGTACCCTCATCACCAAAAAGAAGAAATTGAGTAGCAAGTGTCAGAACTGTTGAAAGCTGGAGTCATTCGGCCGAGTATGAGTTCATTTTCAAGTCTTGTGATATTAGTCAAGAAGAAAGACAAGGGTTGGAGAATGTGTGTGGACTACAGGGCCCTAAATAAAGCTACAATACCAGATAAGTACCCAATCCCTATAGTTGATGAGTTGTTAGATGAACTATATAGAGCTACTGTGTTCTATAAAATTGATCTAAAATTTGGGTATCATCAAATTAGAGCGCATGAGGATGACATCCCTATAACGGGGTTTAGAACACATAATGGCCATTATGAGTACTTAGTAATGCCCTTTGGACTAATGAATGCCTCAGCTACCTTCCAAGCTACCATGAATGACATTTTTAGGCAAAATTTGAGAAAGTTTGTTTTGGTGTTTTTTGATGATATTTTGATTTACAGTAGAGATATCAAGGAACACCAAATGCATTTGAAGATGGTTTTGTCTATTTTAGTTGAGCATTGTTTTGTGGCAAATCAAGCAAAATGCAGGTTTGGTTGTGCTCAAATTGATTATCTTGGCCATATCATTTCTGGAGAAGGTGTGGCAGTGGACCCTGAAAAGGTGAAATGTATTCTTGCATGGCCTACACCAAAGAATGTGAAGGGGGTACGCGGTTTTTTGGGACTCACTGGGTATTATAGAAAGTTTATCCAGGATTATGGTAAAATAGCAAAACCTCTCACAGATTTGACTAAGAAAGACAATTTTTCTTGGGGAATAGAAGTTGTCAAGGCTTTTGATGAGATGAAGAGAATCATGACTTCTCCCCCTGTGCTAACTTTTCCAAATTTTGATTTACCTTTTGAAGTTGAGTGTGATGCGGCTGGCAGAGGTATAGGTGTTGTTCTAATGCAGCAGAGGCAACCTATTGCTTTCTTCAGTAAAGCGTTATCTGATGGGAATCTGGCAAAATCTATCTATGAGAAGGAATTAATGGCCCTTGTGCTTTGTATTCAGCACTGGAGACATTATTTATTGGGCAGAGCATTTATTCTGCACACAGATCATAAAAGCTTGAAGCATTTTTTACAACAGAGAGTTTCATCTCCAGATCAGCAGTGTTGGTTGGCCAAACTGCTAGGCTATCAATTTGAAGTCAAGTACAAGCCTGGCTTAGAGAATAGAGTTGCTGATGCTCTGTCCAGATGTCAGGGTGAGGTAGAAATAAATTCTATCATTTCTTTTCCCTTGTGGGCTGATAGACAGAAACTTTTGGATGAAATAACTAATGACCCGTACATTCAAAAGTTAATGAAAGAAGTGCAGGAGTCTCCTGATGTTAGACCTAGGTTTCAGGTGAAACAAGGAGTTTTACTTTATCATGGCAGACTGGTAATTTCCCCCGAATCACCCTTTATTCCTTGGCTATTGGAAGAATTTCATAGTACTCTTGCTGGAGGGCACTCAGGTTTTCTAAGAACATACCGAAGACTGGCAGATTCCTTATATTGGGTGGGGATGCAGAGGAGTGTAAGGGATTATATTAGATCTTGTGATGTTTGAAAGAGACAAAAGTATAGTGCTACTACTCCTGGTGGTTTGTTACAGCCTCTACCTATTCCTAATGGTGTGTGGGAGGACTTGTCCTTAGACTTTATCACTAGGTTACCTAAGTCTAAAGGTTATGAGGCTGTGTTAGTGGTCGTGGACAGACTATATAAGTATAGTCATTTTGTTTTACTCAAACATCCATACACTGCTAAGTCAATTTCTGAGCTCTTTGTTAAAGAAGTAGTGAGACTTCATGGAATTCCAAGTTCTATAATCACTGATAGAGATCATTTATTTGTGAGTCGTTTCTGGATGGAGTTGTTCAAGTTGCAGGGTACTAAGCTGAAAATGAGTTCAGCATATCACCCGGAAACAAATGGTCAAACGGAAGTAGTTAACAGGTGTCTGGAAAGTTATATGCGGTGCTTTGCTTCTGATCATCCAAAGACTTTGTCATTGTGGGTCTCTTGGGCTGAGTTTTGGTACAACACTACCTTTCATGTGTCAATTGGGAAGACTCCGTTCGAGGTGGTATATGGGAGACAACCTCCTACATTGTTGAGATTTTTGTCTAATGAGACTAAGGTGGCTGCTGTGGCATTGGAGTTGAGTGAAAGAGATGAGGCTTTGAATCAACTCAAACTTCACTTGCTCAAAGCTCAGGAACAAATGACAAGGTATGCTAACAAGAAGAGGAGGGATTTATGTTTTGAAGTTGGAGAATGGGTGTTTCTGAAACTTAGACCCCATAGACAACCGTCAGTGGTAAAAAGAATTCATCATAAACTCGCGGCAAGATTCTATGGACCTTTCCAGGTGGCGGAGAAGATTGGTTAAGTAGCCTACAGGTTGAAACTACCATCGGCATCTAGAATTCATCCAATTTTCCATGTGCCTCTACTCAAGCGAGTTGTTGGGAACTATCAGGTACAGGGAGAGTTACCTAAAGATTTGGAAGTGACTGAGGAGACTAATGTGTACCCATACAAGGTGTTGGGTTCAAGAGTCATAGTGCAGGGGGGTAATGAGGTTCAGCAGACCTTGATACAATGGAAAAACAAAGCTTTAGAGGATGTAACATGGGAGGATAATGAATTTTTACAATGGAAAAACAAAGCTTTAGAGGATGTAACATGGGAGGATAATGAATTTTTGCGTGGCCAGTTTCCTGAATTTTGCCTTGAGGACAAGGCATTGTCTAAGGAGGTGGGAGTTGATAGAAATGTGATTAGTGAAGTGGGGCCTAGGTCAAGGGTGTGGAGAGTTTACACTAGGAAGAAGACAAAAGGAATGAAAGATGATGACGTGGCTGTGAATGCATGAGGAACGCATGAAGTGCATGAGAGTGACTATATATATCTATAGCTGGAAGGGAATAATCAGGAAGGAATTCAGTTAGGATTTGGTGGGGTCACCTCTTGGTGATTTGGGAGCACTGAGTGCTTGGGAATTGGGTAGCTATTACCAATTTGTCATTTTCCTATTTCTCTGTTACTATATTCCTGTAATTGTGGATCTCATAGCAATACAATTGTAGTTTCATTACTCATATATTCTACTGTTATATCCTTTTTACCACTATTTTGTGCATTAAGACCCATCAGTTCCCATTTCGACTACAAACTTTTACACAAGAAACGTATGCCTAACCTCTTGACCTATCCCACAACAAACTATCTCACACAGTTAGAAGTGGTTGTAACGGCTATAACAAACTGACTGACGCATGCCAATCAATCCTACGGATTAGCTTCTACAGCATGTCATCAAAAGGATCTACAAATTGATCCAATCCAGTGTAATCACAATCAATTCAATAAAAATTCAGATTCACTATCCTAGATTCCAAAGAGAATCATTGGCTAATAAAGTAAGTATAGCAGAGATGAGAATGTTGTGTTAGATGTGTGATAAGAGTAGACAAGATAGGATTAGAAATGAAAATATTATAGACTGTTGGTATAGCACCTATGATAGAGAAGATGGTAGAAAATAGACTTGGGTGGTTTGGGCATGTAGAGAAAAGACGTGTAGATTATGTGGTGAGAGTAGACCAGATGGAAAGAAGTCAAACAACTAGAGGAAGACCAGAAAGACTATAAGAGAAATTATTAAGATCTCGAGATTAACGATTTGGATAAAAACATGGTCGTGGATAGAACATTATGGCGAAAATTGATCCATGTAACCGACCCCACTTATTGGGATAAAGCTTGGTTATTGTTGTATCACTGCATGTTTACCACAGCTTGAATCATGAAGTACTTATATCCTCAACATTTTCTACTACCTACTTAGTTTATTGAAGGCACATAAAATTCATCTTCCTAATCATAGTATTTAGTACAACATCACTGCATGTTTACCACAGCTTGAATCATGAAGTACTTATATCCTTAACATTTTCTACTACCTACTTAGTTTATTGAAGGCACATAAAATTCATCTTCCTAATCATAGTATTTAGTATCTACTATTTCCACTTATTTCAAGTTCAAAAGTAAATCTTAAACTCATGTACGAGTTCCTTAAATACTAGTTCGCCACAATATGCATACCCTTGCTTATTGTTCAAAACCAACTGTCATTGATGCCATAGATCTTGCTCACTTGGCACAGTACTCGAGACATTAAGTGTTTTGCTCACACTATCACCTCCATGATCTATGCCATGAAGATTCTAAAAAAATTTATGTTGTTGTCGATTGTTTAACATGACAAATCTCTTCTAATCCAGCCTTGGGATTGGTTATGTAATGCACATAGGCAGAGTTATATTCGGAAAAATGATAAAATGGAAACATCAAGGAATCAATCACCACATGTGGCTCAATCAGTAATTTGAGTGTTGTGTGAGTCGACCAAATTTGGGTGCATGCGGCACCTTTTGGTCAAGGTAGATGCCCATGCCAAACAAAAACTAGTCCCTACACATTCCTATATGCTACAACCAAGATAAGTATAAATTCCAAAAGGCTTAAAATATATGCATGTAGTAATAATGTGTTAGATTTCAATAACCAAAGGGAAGCCAGGGGAAGTGTTGTTAAGTTAGTACAATACTTGTAAGAACGAGAATTTTCCAAACCGGAATCAGTAAACTACATTATGAAATTTAAATCTATTATAGCTATGATTATGTTGTATACATGATTAGACAGTACCTCTTAAATATCACCAACTGATTCTGCCAATATAGACAGTTGTCAGTTTAGAGATGAGATGTAACAGAAACAAGTTGAGAGCAGAGACACATGTTCTACTGTACGACCAACGAGTTTATAATATAGACAAAGATATGTCTTTTTAAATGCAAAAAGGGAACAACTCATAATATCAACAAACAAATAATTAAATATTTAATTGCATTGAACCTTTTCAAGTTTTGATCATTTAAAGTGTCCTACTATACCTGAAATTTGGATGATTCTCCCGATTCTTGGCCCAAACAAGCATTTACCTTGATTATTTCCTTTAGCTTCACTGTTATGTCATTTTCATTGCTGCACAAATCATGGGTAAAATCATAAGCATCATTTATACTTCTTTAAAGAAAAACTGAATGAAGCAGAGAAAATAGAACAGGTCAGATTTGGAATCCTCCAAGTCCAAGCCATCAAATTATTTTCTCCTAGTGCAATTCCTACTTGACATCAATGCACCCTCAAAGAGGATTCACAAGGAAAGGGTACTTAAACTGAAGAAATTCAGCAAATGTAGCAATGAGATATGATTATTAGAGCTCATAAACCGGTTCTACCCTACCTAAACTAAGCATTTTAAATTGTTGATTCATTGCCGAAGAAGGCTTAGAACTAGTAGTTCATTATGAACTAGTAGTTCATTATCAAATGGACTTTTCCACTCCGATACCCTATCTGATAGTTATCAATGCTTATATCAAATATGCTCCTATGGGACGGAGGGCTATTGGATCAAATGACAAAGACGATATTGAGACAAAAATGGATATTCACATACAAGATGGTTGGCACCCAATTCTCTCCAAATTCAGTTATTTGTTTTCTTTATTTCCCACCCTAAGGTCTTTCTTCGCATGATTTCCTCTCATTTCAATATGCAATAGTCCTCTCAAATATCCTGATGTGCATGTTTATATTTTGTTACACTCTTCCACAATTATATCCCCCTTACTCATAGCAGCATTCATATTTTCTTCGTATAATTCCCCGTGGCCCAATACTCTAGCCCACTCCTCGTCTTTTCTTCTATTATATGTGTGTATAAGGCCCAGTAGTAATCAAATCACGACAAAGGGAAGGAAAGACATAAAAACATCCAAACTGGCATTTACCTTACTCCATCCATTATGACTGAAGGTCGAATAACTATCGGTGGCACAGCAATGTTTGTTATTATGAGCTTCTCTGGTTTTTCAATATAAAGTAGGTCGCAGTCCTACAACACAGAGTAACAAATTTGTTCAGCTTGAGGGAAAAATAAACCTCTGCAGTCTTAAAAAACAACAATCCTTCTTCAAAGTGAAAAGAGAAAAAGCAACCCAAAAACAATCAACTTTAGTATAAATGTTTACCTCAACATGCATCTTTTTAAACAAGGAATGGACCCTGAGAGGGTCAAGAACTCGAGAAGTCAAGTCACTGCTTGCCCTATAATTGTTTACATCAGAAAGAGCTGATTGGAGCTCTGCAACAACTTCATTGTCGCAGTCATGAATAATGCTCAGGGTAGACTTATTGTGCTTTACTGAACCTGCATCACAATATTCATCACCAAAATCACCATACAAATACAAAGAAATGAATATCTCAATACAATATTGGCTATGAATTAGGGCTCATTTGTATAAGTTTTTTAATAAATGATTTTATAAAGCATTTGAAAAACATATATTTGTATTATTACATATCATTCAACTAAAAAGGCACAATTAAAATGGCCAAAGAAACAGACCTTGGTTCAAATATTCGGCTCTTATAACATAATGGTAAGTTTCTATTGATAGGGGGAGAAAAGAGGTAGCCTAATATCATGGAATCCTTAGAAAAAAAGTGTTCAGCCTTAAGCAATGCATTCCCTACCATGGAAGCTTACTACATGTTGGGCCTCTGTTAGCTACTTGCTTACGTGTTGATTCGTTTAAGATGGAATCGACTATAAAAAAGTGGACGCAAGTATGTTTCTACTGAATACGGAAATTAAGTTGATAAAATATCACCTTTGTAAACAAATTACAATATTGAAGTCATTAGAATAAAGCATATAACGTACCATTGATATATCCACATCTTGGGCACGCTATGGCTTTAACACTTTTATATTTTTTCATTATAGATTCAAGCAATTGCATCTTTTGCAGCCCATCCAATTTGGGGTTTCTCATTTTCATCAAACTCTTTTTACGAGAATCTTCATCAAGGAGAACACGAGCACAATGCTGGAAAAAATACCAAACATATAGTTTAAGCAAGGTACAATAAACACAAAATTATGACAATACATACTGAAATCTGAGAAGCATATATACAAAATTGTGAACACAAAAGTGTGAACAAAACAAGGCTCAAATTGGAATCCAGACAGCAATATCGCCATCCATATAAATTTGAACTATTTTACTGGTGCAAACGGAGACTCAGATCTCAAACCTCAAACAAGGAAATTTTCACTTATCACCAAGTGAGTGACCACCAAACCGAAGGTCTAATTCTGCTCTAAGTTAGAGTTGTTAACTTCTTATAGAAAACTTAACAGCTCTTCATAAGACTAATTCCTAAGACTAACAAACAGAAATAGTGTCATCCATATATGCATGTTATGTAAGTACTTATAAGTAAAGTTAATAGAAATAAAACAAGAAAATCATTATGTTGATGAAAAAGAACATAATGCAAAGAAAGTGGGAGTGGATGTGACATTATTAATACCTTACAAATGCACTTGAGTATTTTCACAATTGTACTTAAGAATCCAACATTGAAAACAGGTCGGGCAAGTGGTAAGTATCCGTAGTGCCCTTGACAGTCAGCATATAGCCCGTGGCATGTTGCACAGGAAAGACTCTTATTAGCAGCGCCCTGAATTACATGAAAACAGTTCCAAAAAATGAAAGATTATGAAAAGAGTTAAAGTGTATTTCATATTCTGTTGTACAAATAGCTTATACATAAGCAGTTATATGATCAATTATATGATTAGCCCTAAGATTAGACAAGTTTATATAACTGAACAAGGCAAATAGATGGTGGTACCATGCGGGAATCCAACAAGCCACCAGGAACAGGCTTTTTAAAAGCATCATAGTAATCAGCGTGCCACACTTGAACTTCACCAATTTTCATGATTTCTGTTTCAGATAGCGTGGAAAATGAAATACCAGCTCTGCAATAAACAAACAGAAAAACTAAATTAATAACGCTTAATTCAAACAATTAATAACGCTTAATTCAAACAATGAACAAGTTGACATGAATAAACAATTTGCTCACATTTTGCGTGCTCCTGTGTCCTCGATGTAAGGCTCCTTCGTGAAGGTCATGCCATCACTTTTCGGCCTATTCATCACTTCCGATTGTGGTTTCTCAGAAAGACGCAAATCAACTGAATGAGGGTTATGCGACGGTGGTTACGGCGGGGAGAGAGTGTGGAAATTGTGGAGAACCGCTGTGATCAGTGAGGACCACTAGGGGATGTTGCAGGGTTTATGTATTTATATCAAGGGGTGGACATGAAACCGCTAACCGGTGCAATCCGAGTAATCCAACCCAACAAATAAATTTCTGCAGGTCTAATGGGTTGCGGGTTGTTTTTTACAGGTTCAATCGGTTTATGTAGGCCGGGTTCGGATCACCAAAAAGTAACCGTAGGTGACCGAATAACTCTCCATTTCAAATTATTAACGTGACTTTGTGGTTTATCTGCTACGTACTTTGCATAAATATCTCCTACTAGATAGTATTACATATGTGATGATAATTATTTATAGTAACAATAATAAATAAATTATAATATATTATTATATGTCATTCAATCGTTATGTTTCTTTCTTTTTATGTACTAGTTTGTTTTTCTTATTCCTTTTTTATAATTTTATTTAGTTTTATCTTCTCAATTTAATATCTTTAATTCTTATAAAAAAATCATATTTTTAATGTCTTTCATCAATCAGAACAATCTATATCTACTATACTTAAGTTTGTCTATCTTTTCAGGGAAAAGATCCCCTAATTTTTTTGGCAGCAACAGCACTCTACCTTTCAACAATTATGGACTACTAGATCAATTTAAGTATTTCATGCCATATAGTCCGTTTATATTTTTTTAATTTTAGAAAACAGAACAAAGTGTTTTAATATGAAACAAAAAAAAAAATTATTACATTGATTTTCTTTCATCTTTTTCATTGTCGTGTATTTCAGTTCACAATAGAACTAAGTTATTGTCGTCATTATTATCGTGTCTTTAAATGTCATCACTATCATCGTTGAATTTCGTTATCATCAACAATCTTGTTTGTTGTTCACTATTATCGTTGTCGCCATCGAACTTTATTGTTACAACATTTTTAATCATCGACAGTGTTAATTTTTTTGAAAAGTCACCACCATTATATCTTTGATCATTCTCATTGTTAAGATTTCTGTAAAATCATCATCTTTTCATTTTTCTATAACATTGTTTGTATGTGTATATTTTTTGGTTTTTTCTTTTTTGTTTCTATATCTTTGTACGTGTGTTTTTGTATTGTTTTACAATGAACATTATTTTTATTATTTGAGATTTTATAGGTATTTTATGTTACTTTGTTTCTATTTTTCTTTTGATTGAAGTTCATCCACATTGTTTTGTGGTTTTTATTTAGTGTATGTGTGTTTTAATTTTTTTGAGAGATTTACTATTGATTTTTCTTCTTAATCAGGTTATAAGATATCAATAGAGTTTGATAATTCTGACAACTTCAAGTATTGATTGGAAGCTATTTATTGGTATGAAATTTGATTCAACAGAGACGGCTTATCAATTTTGGCTCGTCTGTGCATATATTGGTTTTGGTGTTACAAAACGTTATGTGAGCAAGAGTAAAAAAATGGTTCTATATTATCATGTAGGTTTGTTTGTAGTAAGGAAGGATTGCAGCAAACTGACAAGAGAGGTGTCTCTGTTAGCAACCATAGAGTAAAGACCATAATAGATTGCAAAGCAAAGTAAGGAAGGATTACATCACAGAATATCGGAAATTTAGAAATTTTCGGTAGTTCAATTTTTTTTGAAAAAATATATTTTCTTATTTTGCAATGAGGACCAGAGGTATAGATGGTTCTATTGTGGGACAGACCACTGATAGAGTTGGTGCTGAAGTCCGGGATGACGAGGCACATGCTTCAAAGCTACGGTCTGGATATCGTCCTCCGACCGGTTCTCATCGAAAATAGATGGTTGAGCAGCAGCCGCAGTTCTGTGCACCTTGTCGTCGACCTGTTAGAGTATCCACTACTGAGGAGGTACATGCTCATATTCCTATTGTGGAGTCGGTAGTTGTGGAGCCGGTGCAGGAGGTTGTTATTGAGCGAGTTAATGAGGTGTCCTCTGCTGATACATACACCACGACTCATGCGTCTGCAGAGTCATCAGTACACACTGATGAAGGTTTCCCTAGAGGACCTTCAGACAGGTCTGTGCTGACAGGATTTGTGGACCATGTGGTTTATAAGATATGGCATGACAAGGTATATATTTTTGGTTTTGTTTAATTGCATAGTTTTTATTTTTGCTTACAAGTTTTTATGTATAATAATTTGTTTTTGCTTCTTACAGGAGCGTCTGGTGTTGGAGGTCGCTTCTCATGGTTCGAAGTTGAAGAACTTCCCTGAGAGTCCCATGCATGAGGAGGTGGGGAGGATCGTTAGAGAGTTACATCTCTTAGAGTTTGTTGATTGCTTCTTGACCATGTTAGACGCCTCCTTGCTATCAACTTTTGTTGAGAAGTGGCACCCAGAGACATCATGTAACACCCTGATTTAGTTAGAATCATTTTATTTAAAATAATTATATGAAGTGATGTGTTTATGGAAAAGACATAATTTTGATGAAAAAATTAGTAGGAGTAAAAGACATTGTTTTGATGGAAAATTGAGATTTAGGTTTTGAAACATGAAAACTCATATTTAGAAAAGTTGCGGATTTTGGCCCTACTATCGCAGGATAACCGGTTACCATTAGGGGGTAATCGGTTACCACGTGAAATTTGTGAAAAACAAGCTATTGTATTAGCGCGGTAATCGGTTACCATCAGGGGGTAACCGGTTACCACAAAAAAAATTAAAATCCTGAGTTATTGCCTTACGCAGTAACCGGTTACCATTATGGGGTAACCGATTACCGTTGAGAATTTTTAAAACAGGAGTTATTGTCTTACGCGGTAACTGATTACCATTATGGGGTAACTGGTTACGGCTGAAGTTGGCCAAAATTTTGTAAACTTTGAAAATTAATAACTTTTACCTCGAGTGTTTGTTTGACGCGCCGTTCGAACCGTTGAAAAGCTAAAATCATTTTCTATTTTATAAAAATAAATTGGAACACAGTAGATAATTATTTTACCAACATTGATGCCTATCTATGTGTATTCTTGAGTAATATGTTATAATTTATGTTGTGATTGAGTAAGATGATGTTGTATGAATGTTTTGGTTGCTTGACAGGATGTACATGATAGTGATGATGACACTACGCCAAAAAAGACTTACGAAAGCGCTTTTTTGGGCCTTTAAAAGTGCTTAAAAGCGCTTTCTTAGGTGGCGCTGCTATAGGTTTTAGCAGCGCTTTTTGTTTAATGAAAAGCGCTTTCGTAGGTCTACCTAATACAACACTTTTTCTAAAAAGCACTCTCTTAAGTAGGCTTTTGGCAGCGCTTTTTTATGAAGAAGTGTTTTCATAGGTCTACCTAAGGCAGCGCTTTTTTCTGGAAAACCGCTCTCATAAGTTTTCTTTTAGCAACGCTTTTTTCTGAAAAAGCGTTGTCTTAGATAGGCTTTTAGCAACGCTTTTTTCTGGAAAAGCGCTTTCATAAGTGGTCTTTTAGCAGCGCTTTTGCCTGGAAAAGCGCTGTCATATGTTTACCTTAGACAACGCTTTTTGTGAAAAAGCGCTTTCATAGGTTACCTAAGGCAACATTTTTCTTGAAAAAGCGCTTTCATAGGGTGTTTTTTTAGAGGTATAATTTATATAATTCATATACCTGCATTGTTTGGAGCATATTATTTATATAAACCAGTTGCCATAACCTGTAATTCATAAACCGCGGTAATGCATTGTATACCATTGTAATCCAAAATATATATACACCATTTTTGTACCTCAAAATATATAAAAACCATTGTTATCAGCATTGTAACTCAAAATCAGTCTTACAAAATCAACCCTAACAACAACTAAACCAGTCCTAATGTATGAAAGAAACACGGTCAATTATGTATTAAGGTCCTGCTCCTGCGAGGTTTGAACATAATAACACGGTCAATATGGTATTCCATGTACACATGTAACGTATTCATAACACTTTTCACATAATAATGTATTCATATCTTATATGATTCTCTGCTCAATAAAATATTGACACAATTCCTCTTTGATTTCTTCCAACTGAAGTTTCGTGTAATATGCATATTTGTATTCATCGAAGTACTACATAACAAAACATAATATGCGTGATTTAGTTAAAAGTAAAAAATTATATGAAATATCCGAGAAATAATAAAACAAATCCTAAGTTATAAATCCATACCGTGACTGGAATCTCTATTTGATTCAGTTGAAGGATTTCTTTGATAAACCGCATAACGAAGTATCTGCAATCTATACCGTTTTGCTGTTGAGGACACTACATAGAAAAACAAATAAGAATATATAGTTGTATTGTTTTATCAAATAGCATAAATATTATAAGCAAAATAGTGGAAATTAATATACCTGCACTTTGATCCAATTAATGTTGTTTGATTTAGACCGTCGTACCCGAGCTTCTCTTTGACACCGGAGGAATACTTGTATCGCTCTAACAAAATAAAAATATATATTTAGAACAATGTCACCGAAATAATTAAATATATAAATACACATAAATATTTAGAATAATCTCACTTACGTATCAATCATTAACTTCATATCCGGATAATTTGTCCAATCACCGTCAACCGAATTCAGATAATAGACCACTTCTTTTATAGGATCGATAGCATCCAACAACCAGTAACGTCTACAAATTAAAACAACAGTTTAGAAGAAAATTTTCTACGCAAAAATTACAAATATTAAAATGAACTTAGAATGAAAATCTAACCCTGTAGGAATAGTATTATACACCCAAAGATATAAGCTTTATGTACTGCCAGTTGCCATGAATCTTTCTACTAAGTGCTCTCTTACTAAATTCAGTTCCCTACCAATTGTCGCTCCGCTGACACGGGAGGAAGACACGAAATGGAATCTGTTTGACAATTGATTCACGCACATCAATTTGTCATATAACAACCTTGAATAAAAACATAATTAATATTCGACTAT